CTAAAACACACTGGAAAAGCCTTTCCCTGTTATCAAAAACAGCTTCCTTAATGAATTATCAAATTATTACTCCTCATCACATGGTCTCCTTTATGGGTGGGTTATTATGTTTGGCAAAGAAATGTGGCGTGGCACATTTGTTTGAAGAAATCTTTTGATTGCTGGAAGAAAACAAGTAATCTTGGTGCAGCATGTGGAAAATTGCATGGAGCCTTAACTGGGCGACTCCCCTGGCACTGGTTGCTTTTACTGAGGTGATTGTTTCATCTTCTTGCATTATCCTAATGTTAACGTCTTCATACTCATGACAAATTGGAAGCTGTTGTTGTAATTACAACTTCACCGTAAGGTGTGCTGACTAACAAAGGTGCCTGATGCATTGTCTAGTCACTAACACTGTAAGAGACCCACAGAACTCTGAATACTACACACACAAGCACACTGTAAGGTGTATACCTTTGGTCCAGACACTATCTAGCTTGTTATTGCTTTCATACACTTACTTGTGCAGATAGAAAGAACAGAGAGAGACACATATAGCTTGCCTGGAATATGGCAGCAGGTCAGGCTTCCTGGGCGTGTGACTTGGGAAGACTCCCAGGGCAGCATGCCTGGAATGGCCAGTACTTAGCAGCATGCTCTGATGTAAGCTTTTTGAAACTTTGAATACTGTTTGAACAAGAATCTCCACATTTTTCTGTGTACTAACCTCCACAAATGATGTCACCGCTTTTCAGTCATTAACTGTCTTGTTGACTGTTACAAAATCCCAGATACTGACAAAAAAAAAGAATGAAAGGAATTGGAGTGCCCAGTGACTGGAAGCAGGTGCTAAAGAAAGAACTAGAGCTCTTCTGTGATTCTGTTCTTGCCTTAATATTGGCTTTATTCTTCCAGGAGACTTCTATTTTATGTAAAGAAGTTCCTGCCTACTAAATTCCTACAGTTGCAAGTCAATAAAATATTCGTTGAGAGTGGAAAGTAATGGGGGAGTGGATCTGGGCAAGTGTGAGAGCTCATTACGTTTTGCGTCATGAGCAGCTTTGGCTGGCAAAGCTGGCTCTGTTGCTTAAATTCCAGTATCAGGACTTTAATGGCTCTTTTCCAATGCAGGCAGTTCTGGGCAGGTGCTTGTACTAGTGATTATTGCTGAGCTTTTGACAAAGCTCACCTCCTTCATGGCTATATTCAAATGTCGCTCTCTCCCTGCAGCCCAGCTTGCCCACTCTACATAAAACTGCCCTCACTGCCTGTAAGCATATGGCTTGAGGGAGCTGACTTTGAGGTATATTAGGTTAAACTGAAGGTTTCCAAGCTGGCATTCTATAAGGAGTGCTGGCTGTAGTCCTGGCTGATGATTCAGTGCCCCACTAACGTGTCTGAAAGCAGAGGAAGATGGTCCAAGTGCTTCATGTCTTTCCACCCATGTGAGAGCTCTGAATGAAGTTCCAAACTAGGCTTCAGCCTGTCTTTTGTGACTATTTTGAAGAGATGGTGAGACTTTGGATACAAGATCTCTCACTCTCTCTATAACATTAACTTTCAAATAAATAAATAAATAATCTGAGGTTGAACACATAACATGTGCCTAATAAGCCATTATTAGTTACAGAAAAACAAAATAAATTGATGACACATATTCTTGAGCATTAAAGGTAAGCTTTGAGGAACTAAAACATCATTTTCTTTTGACCTCTCATCTCAGTGGGTTGTGTGCTTTGCAAACTAATTCTGGTCCTCAGAATTATTCTGAGCTCACCCTGTACATTGCATTGCTTTTTCGAGCGTTTTATCTCCAGACACATTAAAATCTAGGAGTTTTCCATATTGGATGTTAGGAACGGTGTTTTCCATGTGTCTGTAGGACTGGAGATAAGAAGAGGAGGAGGATGGAATGAGTGTGTGCAATATGACTCAGTCTAAGGAGATCTTTCTCTTTTGGGGAGATCCACCTGGCCTTCCCCATTTTTCATTGAGCTGGACTGACATGCAGAGAGGAACTCTGCAGGGAGAGCGTTCAGTGACTCATTCAATCCTCTTTTCTGTTCTTCCAGAGAATATTGGAGACATGCTCATTGTTAGTTCCAGTAATGTCCTCAGTGATTTCCAAATTACTAGTCTACTTCATCAGTTCTTCTGTGTAAGAATAAACTATTTGTTAAAATATGTATTAATGTAAAAAGAGTACAGACAAGGTTCCTAGGGACAAAACAATATTTCACCAGTTTGTAGCAGCCTTTTTTAAAAAATTATAGTTGAAAATCAAACTTAGGTGGTGAAGTGATGCTTTAGATTTCACTAATGAAAAATTGGCATAGATCATGAAGGCAGGACATATAATAAGTAGTTTCACAAACTAAACTATTATGCACAAAGAAAATAGTGCCTTTGAAAAAATGTTTTTCTGTACACTCCTAATTTTGCCTCTATCCTCTGTGAGTCTTTGAGCAGACTTTTGAGTAATCTAAAATTCAATTTAAATAAGTGGCATGATCACAGTGAGTTAACTTTCAGCTTGAGAGCTTATATGCCACATTCCATTTACTTAATATGTATTTAATATTTTTTTAAGAAAAAGAAGGATAGGAGTTTATTCTGTAAAATTACAGGTATGTCCTTTTTTGTTTTTAATTTGGTGCCGTGGAAATGACTTTTAGACACTTAAGATAGGTGGAATAAATGAAAAGCAAAGATTATTTCATTCTACACTAGGAATTGGGCAAACACATTTTAATATAAAGTCGGATAGGTCTTCAAGTGTGAAAGTTTTTCCTTTTGGTATGAGGTCTAGGAGTTGCAGTATTTTGGGATGCTAGATAGTTGCCTTCTGATTTTATTGTTGAAGTATCTGAAAATTACTTCAGGGTTGGAAAACAAGAGGAAGACAGTTAAAATGAGAAGCTTGTCTGAATTTTTAGTAGAGTCAGATATTCTGAAGATTTCAAATACTTTCAGAAACGACGTGGTCCCTGTAGACTGTGGATATGATGTGTTTTCACTGTCCCAGGGGCACAGAGTGGCTGAGGCAGCTTCCTGGGTATGGCAAGGGTGGGGAAAGCTGGCGTTTCCCAGGGTGTTCAGCACGGAGGAGGTGGATGTGTTGTTTCCATGGACACATCACTGCTCCATTTTCCCTCTAGGTGGTGACAAATGGGACTGGATTTAGCCTGGTGAGGTATAGGCTCGTGGAAATTTGTTCCCATAAACTTTTTTCATTTTTTCCCCTACAATTGTATGCAAGTGTATTACGCTCAGGCTAGCATTACTTTATGATCTTTGGAGATTTGCTTAATTCTTTTTAATGGGGGGGAGTGTCTTTAGTCTAATGGAATAATCCCAAAAGTAGGAAAAGCACCAGCTGTATACTCAGGAACCTCCTACTTCTCTTGATTGTTTAGAAGGCAGTTTACAACTCTTCTATATTAAGTTGTGTTTGGGACTCACAGGGAGAATGGCTCCTTTTCCTGCACACCTGCGCACAGCCATGTCTCTGGAGCATGTGCTGTTTCAGTAAGAATTACAAGACACTCTGGAGAGAAGAAGGGTTTAAGTGTGCCCCAGTCCCAAAAGGAAAATTGGAAGCAAGGTTCTGTTTGTGCGTTTCATTGGATGAGACATTTCATGAGTTAATTAGGAGATGGCAACACCAGAGAGAGGGGAGTGTGCAAGGAAACAACTCCTGGCACAGTCTAATAAAGTAACCTTTAGACAACAGCTGTAATGAAAAAAGCCATGCCAATAACAATAGAGCAGAGCCCGGTTCCTGTCCGTTAAAGCAGGACAGCTGAAGCGGTGGGTGGCTGAGTTTAACATCAAAAAAAGACAAAACAAACAATCTAGACCAAGGTTCTGTAAAAAAGGAAAACGTAATCATTAGAGGTTAAACATTTTAAAAAACTTCACAGTGAAAGTGCCGCCCTGATCAACAGCCCTCTGGTTCTGTACCATTGGCTAAGGAAACCTTTCCACTTACTGAATTCTCTCTGAATGGAACTGCGACATTATACTCATCTAATAAAAATCCTCCACTAGCATTAGCAGTATTAGCTACGCTACGAGACTCTGAAGAGCAAAGACAAATATCCTCCCACTCAGCCCGATTTAGCTTCAGTTTTTAAAAAAGTACTAATTTCTTCCTGACAGCTTGCTTCAGTGGCAGAGAGCACTGAGAAACTGGAATATGGATTTCCAAAGTTTTTTTTTCTTTAAAAAATTGTGCCAGAAGTTATAGCTGAAGACAAATATTCTGCCACAGAGTTCCAAGTTTATGCCACATGCAGCATTTTACAAAGTTACAAAAATGGATTATTTTAGAAAAGCAATTCCTATATTGCTTTGATTCTTTCCCAGGATAAATATTTAAAAAGTCAGCATTTTCCTTCCTGATATTAATAAAATCTTTTCCAAGCCCATTGCATGCCCTGCATTCCTGTATCAGGGTCCCTCTCAGCTTGTGACTTTGCTGGAAACTGATAACTGAGAATTAATCTGATATATGCTTTTACCTTGTTCTTGTCTAATACTGAACTTAAGTATACTAACATACTTCCGCCTTAGTAGTAATTTGTTTTATTTTTCCTGAAACCCCTTTAGAGAATTCTAAGTTTTCGACACACTCAAAAGTGTAAAACAAAGTTCAAGAGTGAGGATCTGTTTGTTACAGGTATAATCCGATGTTTGTGAAATAAAGCTGAAGGAAAAGCTGCATTATTTAAGGTACACAAAAGGTAAACGATACTGAACTGAACTACCTTAACAGCTTTTGCTTGCTCTGGAACCGCAGGCACGGTCTGTGAAAGTCAAGTACATTTGCTGTGCACTTGGATTCCAAACCCCAAGCGTTACAGAGGGTCACAAGGGTTAAGAGAAGCCGAGACGTGACCGTGAAGGCTGACAGTGCTGATTTTCCACTCCCAGGGGCTCAACTTCGGGACAGGCAGCAACGGGTCTGCTGTTCCTCTAAGCAACCACCTTAATGAGTTTTAACTATGCAGACTTACTGTGATGGCCTGGAGTCGTCCCTTCACCAGCTCAGCTTCTTCCATTCTGAAAGTCAAGGACAGGCAGGCGCTGAAGGACGTCCAAAGCTACCATAAATCAAAGAGCCTCCTTGGGGAGAGGAGCAGGGGTGACAGAGGAGCGGCGAGGAGAAATCCACTCTTTTCACGCGTGGAGAAAGGGAGAAATTCCCGACTTGTCAGGAGTGTCTCTGAGCAGATGCACAGATCAGGCCAGACAGACACATGTAATGAGGGTGTGCTGGGAGGCAGACGCTGAGGCTGCTGGCACGAGTTGACTGACAAGTTTGAACGGCAGCGGCACAAGCCCTTTTCCTTCAGGAGCTGCCAGCTCTTTGTTATAATGTGCACAGTTAGCAAGGCACATTCTCTTATTAACTGTTCCTTACCCAAGCCATTCTTTTCCAGGAGGGGCAAGGGCAACCACGTTGCTGGGGTTTGAATCAGCCTCTGCTGTTACCGGACCCTGTGTGTGGGGGTCTGTGAGTGGATATGAGTCAGTTCACTGGCACTCTGGCTCTGGAGCTCAGAGAGAGAGCCTTACCTGGACTGGGGCAGAAATGCCAAGTCATTTGTTTGCCTTTCTCCCTCTTATTGGCTTTGCATAACAGACATTCTATAGTTCCTTTAGAATTTCATTTAGGGATAGATTTACCTGAAGGTGCCCTCCCCTTGCTCCTTGACCTTGTTTCAGCAGCTGGAAGCAAAGTTTGCAAACTTCCGATCATGGGAGAAGTCCCTTGATTCCTAATGGGATCATTGGAAGGGTTGGCCCAACAGGAATGCTCTGCGCGGTCATAACGCTGAGTTTCACTGTCTGCTTGCTTGGCTTGGCTTTTATGGGATGCTGATCTCTCTTGGACTTTGTTCAGAAATGATATTCCTGGCTTTCAGGAAGGTGCCCATTTTGGCCTCACCAGTTACGTAAGAAGAAGGGGGCAAGCTTTGGGAAGTGTTGAGACAATCTGTGAATGCCTGCAGCCTGGCACGGTGTGCATTTCCTCCCCCTTTGGAGAGGAGCAGTTAAGCCCAGTGAAACTCAGACCAAGCCGAGCTGGGACACTTTACAATTGACCTTGTTTTCTTTACCACAGCAGTTCTTTAATTAAATTTTCATGCACTAAACCCTAATTACCATCTACCTCATTATTACGTGTTTGGGTACTATCAAGCCCTTTCATAACATTCATTCAGCTGATGAGATCAGAGGGACAACCCAAACATTGAACATATGGTTTAATTTCCTTCGCATTTTTGATCCTAGTCATAATAATAGCCACTATTTGTTAAGTGTTCTCTATAGGCAAATGAGCTACATCCTATTTATCTCACAAGGTGCTGAGAGATAAGCATAATGATCCCTATTTTAAAAATGAGGAAGCCGGCCCAGAGAGGTAATTTGCCACATAGCTAATAAGTAGTGAAGCCAGGATTGAAACCTCAGCTGTCTGATGTGATAACAGCCACCCATTAAGGCTTGCTCAGGTCACAAGGCCAGGTGAGGCACAGGTGTCTCCACGAGAAGGTGTCACAGGTCTAGTCTCATCTTCCGTCATGCTCCTAGTACTTTTGCAGCATAGAGGAAAGCCCTCAAGCAGATAATCTCCTCTGGAAGAACTTAGGGGCCCTAGTATGATAGTATCTCTCCATATTGCCATTTGGACAAGAATACAACTCACACCCGGAGTCAGTCATCCCTAGGTGGAAATCACTGGTTTCCAGAGTCTGAAAAAGTGCTTCAGAACAGTTCATCCTTGCTCGTCTGAAGAAGACGTGTTTAGGGAGATTGGATGATGATACTTCGACGCAGGCCAAGTTTGAGTTCCATTGGACAGATATTTAATCTAAAAAACAAATCTGCCAAACTTTTGACACTGTTTGTCTGCAGATCTTGGCAGTAATCAAAGACAATAAGGTGGTAGTGATAAATATCTCAGTCAGAATTGCATATTTGCTGCTCAGCACAGATGGGCATTCATCCAGTTATTAGTCTGGATCTTTCCCTATTTGCCTCTCAAATAGCATTTCTATTATAGGACAACTCAAGGATTTTGTGGTTTAGAAGAGGATGAGATAAAAGAAGAGGTTTGGGATTTTAAGGAGGGGGTTGAGATGTGACAACTGATTAGGATAACCAGGGTATTTTTCCCATCTTTCCAGCCGATAATACTAATAATTTCTACAGTTTAAATAATATTGTAAGTTTTAAATATTTATTTAAAGATTTAATTTATAATTTTTTTAAGGTGCAAAAGCACAGACAGGTCCAATTTGCTGGCTATTCCCAAATGCTTGCAGTAGCCCTGGGCCAGGACTACAGCTGACAACTGGTAACTCAATCAAAGTTTTCCACATGGATTTCAGGGACCCAATTACCTGAACCATTTTTTGCCTCCATCTCCCAGGGTCTTTCTCATCATGAAGGTAAAGTCAGGAGCCAGAGCTGGTTATCAATCTGAAACACTCTTCCATGGAATGCAGGTGCCCTAGCTGGCATTTCTGCTCCTAACCTAAGTACCTGACTCTAATAATTGCCAATATTTTGAAGTATTTCTGTTCAGTCAGGACATATTTATTGAGCACCAGTGATGTGCTATGAGTTTGGAATTCATGGATGAAGTAAAGTCCTGCTCTGTTGGAACTTATATGCTTGTAGGCAATTAAAAGCAAATAGAATAAGTGAGACACAGTAGGTGAGAAGATGATTACCATTTGTGTCCTCTGAGAAACAAATAGTGAAATGGGTTAAATGTGCAGGATTTTATTAGGAGAAATGATTATAAGAGAGAAAATGAGGAAGAAGTCAGACAAGACTAGAGCTGGGGAAATCTGGGAGACAAGTGAAAGAGATTAGGAGGGAATGTCCTATGGAAATATCCCAAACTCTGGTGCAGTCTAAGAGAGGTTGGCAAGGCCACTTCAGAGTCTTGGAGCCAAAGTCAGCTGTGAACAGCCCTCTTCCTTCCAGGCACATGACAACTTTGGTATTCCTGGGCCAGGTCTAAGCACAATCATTGATTTGATGCAGCCCTGGGAAACATGGCTTTGATACAAACACGGGGTTGGATTTAGAGTTCAACCACTGGGACCCCTGGTCAATTATGATTCTACAGATGGTATTTGAGAATGAGTATTTTATGATTTTAGCTATGAAAAGGAAAAAGACACAGGAGGAAAATAAATTGATAAAGCATGGAAAGTTGCGATTTCGAATTGGGCCAATAAATGAGAAAGGAGCATTGAATAAAGGCTTTATAGAGATGAGAGAGTTAGCCACAAGGATACTGAACAGATACTGTCAGATCACAGAGACGCTTTAATAATCAAACTGTGGATATACTTTCATCTTGTTTTAGAGTCAACAGATGGGGTTTAAGAAAAAAGAGAGCATTTATGATTAGAGTATTCTGAAAGATTCTGCTCTAGCAGATAGGAATTGTCATCCATTGAGACAAGGAAGTCTGTGAAAATAATGTACTTCCCAGGTGCGTTAGCAGGCGCTGGATTGGAAGTGGAGCAGCTATGACTTGAATTGATGTCCTGAAGGTTTGGTGGCATCTCAGGTGTGACTCAACCCATCGCCTAATATTTCTGGCCTTTCTGCTTCCTTCTAATATACATCCTTGGAGGCAGCCAATGATAGCTCAATGATGGATTTTTGGCATTCACAATGGAGATTGACTTGGTTTCTGAGCTCCTAGCTTTGATCTTTTGCATGCATTTGGGGAGTGAACAGACCACTGGAAAAACTCTCTTTCAAGTAAAAGAAAAATAAAGTTAAAAAACTTTTAAAAATTGTGGCCAATTTCATAATAATGCTAAGTCTACTCTTAATTACGTCACTAGGGAGGAAGCCAACAGAGAAGAGCCACGTATTGTCAGTACTGTGTTGAAGCTCCCCACATGGCAGAGTCCCACACAGCTCATTTAATGCCCATCTACTTCCCTGCAGACCTCTAAGATCTTTGCTACATGGGACTAGCACCAGGTAAAAATATCTAATGTGGCTGCCCAATATTAATAATCATGGCTTGTACTCCTATTCCCTCCATGCACCTGATGCCGAGACACTTCTGAGATTTTCACAGAAGGACAAACAAATGGACAGAACTCAAGCTCTGCCCCAAACTCTTTCCCCTTTTGAATATTCAGTTAAGCCTGGCTCCAGTCACCACACTCTCCCTCTTGATTATATGAGAGGATGGCTGTGAATATTGTGGATTGAAGCTGATTATCTTATGAGCTTGCCTGTACTTTAATCTTTATGTGTGTCCTTTCACTCTAAATGAATCTTGCTTGCTTGGTCACGTTTCTCTATGTCTTCTTTGAATTCTTTCTCATGTGACTACAAGAATCTGGACCACAACAAGTTGGGAGTTCTGTCTCTCTCTAGATCTGTCTCTTTCTCATAACAATTTTGAATGCAAAAGAAAATAAATGGATGTTTAAGTGTACAAAGAAAGTGGAGTGAGAGTTTATGAAGTGGTGATAGAGAAATATATTAAAACCCAAGGTGGATGTCAATGAGATTGATCAATACGGAAGAAGTACAAATACATTTTCACTAAGAATGTTAAATTGGAGAAGTAATGAGAAATTTGGTAGGTTAAAATTTTATTTTTATTGGAAAGGCGGATACACAGACAGGAGAAGAGACAGAGAGAAAGATCTTCCGTCCGATGGTTCACTCCCCAAGTGAGCACAATGGCTGGTACTGCACTGATCTGAAGCCAGGAGCTCTTCTGGGTCTCCCACGTGGGTGCAGGGTCCCAAGGTTTTGGATAGTCTTCAATTGCTTTCCCAGGCCACAAGCAGGGAGCTGGATGGGAAGTGAAGCTGCTGGGATTAGAACCGGGGCCCATATGGGATCCTGGCATGTGCAAGGATCCACTACATTGTTGTGCCGGGCCCTGGTAGGTTAAAAATTAGGTACAAAAGGAAATCAGAAATTAAACCACATAAACATTTAACCGAATGTAACGATAACAGGCAGAAAATTGGTGAAAATAAAAGATAAACATTCCTAGAATATACGTGCATGTGAAAAGTCTGTTTGAGTGCTTATTGTCATTTAGGCTTCTTCTTCTTTTTTTTTTGTCTTTCTTTCTTTTCCAACTCTTTTTGTTAAAAGTAGGGGTGTTACTATCATATAACCAGGGCTTCATGACAAGGATCATAGATTGCAGAAACAAGGGTATTTGATTACAAGTGATATAATATCAGTGAAGACAAGATTTATAAACATCCATATGTCAAGCAGGGTGTCAATGACATAGTTTTCACATGCAATATGTAATATGAAAACCTATACACTTTAGAGAAAACATGGAATTTGTCTTTCTGTATTTGGCTTATTTCATTCTGTTTTATCTATTTTTTTGCAAATGTCTGCATTTTATT